AAATTCCCAATATTTCTTCAAATTCTCTTAAAGAAACCTAGAAAATTTATTGGCTCTCTAGAAAATTCATTACCAATTTCAAAAAATTCAATTTTCTTACCCAATTTTTATCCTTTTTATTTGCTCTTTTTTGTTATTTATATTATAAAACACTCTATTTATACTATAAACTACTTAAAAAATCTTTTCTATATCTCTATTCCAAGCTATTTATAATTTTAATATCTTTCTATTATTATCACTTATAATTCCAAAGTGAATCTACAAACTACAACCCAACAAGATTACTGTTTAGACTGGTTTAAAAACTATCCTATCTCAAAAAACTCTTCTTTATTTATACTTATGACATCTAAAATTTAAATATTAGATTTCTTAAAACCAGATTTCTGTTCTAGTTCAATTATTAATTTTACAACAATCAACAAACCATCTATAAAAAGTAATTTCAGACTATTAATTCAAACTATAGTAATCAAAAAACCTAAATTTATTATAAACACAATTTTAAACAAAAATCTACATATTATCGAAATAACCAAAATATCTTTTAAAATTCTTCTTAATACAACAAAAAACTGACTTATCAAATTTACTTATTTTCTTTTTTATAAAACAAATTACAAACAACTCTTTAACTCACACTATTTTATTTCCCTTACTCAATTAAAAAATAATTTCAAATTGCTATAAACATTGCTAGACTTTATCTATTCCTACATAACAAATACCAAGCTATTGTTTATCAAAAATTCTTTTATGACTTACAACTTAAGCCCATCTATTTAAAAACTTTTATATATATAAACTATACTTTAAACATTTCGAAAAACAATATTTCTATATTACAAATTCATAATACCTCTAAATTTATATCAATATTACTATAAATATCTCTTTTTAAGAATTTAATATAAACTATTATATTCCATCTTTTTATTTAATCAAACCACAATTTGATACCTAATTTCAAAAAATTTTTACACATTATCAAAAACAATTTAGTAATATCAATGAACAAAAAGTCTACAACTATATCAAATAGCAAATAATAACAACAACTAATAATGAATACAAAAAACTAATTCTTCAAAAACCTAAACTACTAACTATCTAATTCATTCAAGACTAAACAAATTATGCTACCAAAACAGCAATACACCATATATACACTTGCACTAATTTGAAAAAATACAAAATTCTTAATTCAAAAACAACTCATAATATCTATAATTTAACTTCTTACTACTTTAAATAATCTTTTAATACTATACCTATTCAACAATATTTATATTCACCTTTAAATCTTTCTACTTTTGCCTCAGTGACATTCAATATACTCCTCTCTTTTAAAGAAGTTTATAAACTAGCCAACCAATCTGAACAAACCTTTATTCAACTAAACAATACATCTACTAATTCTAAATGTATATCTTATTTCTTTTACTACTATCTTAAAGCTTACTTAAAGCTGCAGCAACTAATAATAAAATTATTAATTTCAATCTCAAAGAAGTATTGAACAAAATCTCCTCTTAAACAAGCAATCCACAAATTTTAGCCAGAGTTATTATCTATTACAACATCACTTAAATCTCTAAGCCAACTATTACTCAACTTAAAAAAATCTTAACAAGTCATATTTTGACTAAGCAAACCAATACATTATCAAAAAGCTTAATATTGTTATATCTACAGTATCAAAAATGAACTTTATCTACACTTTTAATGTATCTAAAATCATTGATAAACTTGATGATAGCCTTTTCTTCTAGCAATATTTATATATTTTGGTTAACTTCTTTTTATCTATTTATTATCCAATCTATATTATTTATTTTAGCTATATTCTTACAATTCTGTTAACTTTTTTTATCTATTTGCTTATTCAATCAACACTATTTTTTATTTTTTTAACTATATTTTATTTCTTATTTAATTTATTTTACCTTTGGTTTCTTTTCTTTATAATAATATAATTAATTTTTAATAATATATATAGTTAGTAAAATCTATAAAGAGCTTACTAGTATATACTAGAGTAATAAATATTATTTAGAAAATTTTAACTAATTTAGGTAAGCCTTAGTCACTTTAGTAGATTTAAGCTGTAGATAAATATGTCTGAGCTCTTACTCTTGCATGTAGCATTTATATTATTTAGAGTTATAGTTTTATAGTTAGCGATTTAATGGTCAGCCCTAACTGCAAGTGCTGGTCTTAGTTATAGCATATATAGAACTTCTTTTTGTATTCAGTAACTCCATGTAGTTACTACTTAATAACTATGAATAAAGATAGAAGCAAGGCTTCACCTTAATACCAAAAAAAAATAAAAAATTGTATTAATAATAATAATCTTTTGTAATATATATTTATGCATTTCATTAATTTGAATTAATTTTGTATAATGAAATATCTTATTTTATAATAAACAAAAGACAAATTAAAAAGTTTTGTTTGTTTTTGTTAGTTATTTGCATATAATTGTATATAATTTATTCTTAATTTAGAAATTTATATTAAATATTTAAATTTTTTTTTAAATAATAAAATGAGTACTTGCAACCAAAAATTTTATTAATAATATATTTAGCTAATAGTTATATTATAACTATAGAAGCCAACTATAGAAAGAGTTTACAACTAGCTACTTATACAACTTTAGTTATTGTTAAATTTAAGTAGTCTGCCTGAAAGTTCTACACTAGTTGCCATATCTAGAACCTCTTATAGGTTTTTTATTTAAACACTCTAGTTTCTATATCTACTCACCTATCTACATCTATCAATAACCTAGTTGATACTTGTAAAAATATGCCATTGTTACTAAGTCTTTAAAGCAATTTACTCATATGAGAAATCCTTGATCTTGTACTAAACCTTTCAGAATCTTCTATATTTTATTCTTATAATTAATCTAGCTATACTATTGCTAAAACTAATATTTGCAGTTAGGGCATACCATTAAACCACTATGCTTTTGTAAAGTTTATTTCAACTCTGATATTTACTTTATAATATATCTCTACTACTTTGGTATTCAATTCAAGTTCCATCAGGCTTTCAATTCAGATAGTCTAAAAAGGTAAGTATAACTATACCTCTACTTTACATGTTCTTTTAGCATATAATTTTTTTCTTCAAAACAGATTCTTGTAGCTTGGCTAGTTACAATGGCATCTTCTCAAAGACCAATTTATCTTCATTCAGTTTTACAAATTCTAGTTTTATTTATAACTCTAGGCTTTACAGTAATATTATCAAAAGTTTAAACTACTTCTCTACTTAGATCTTCCAAGTAAGCTTTTGTTTTTTTGGTTTCTATAATTTATAAAGCTATAAGAACTTATTACAGATTTATACTATCTAGTATTAGTTTGTATTCTTTTATACAAGGTATAATTATTACACAAATGCTATATGATCTTTCAGTTATGCTAATATAATATGAATAACAGATATTTAATTTCAACTAATAGCAAAAACAGTTAACTATATACAGAAAGAATTTTAAATTTTTATCAACACTGGGATTTGAACTCTAAACCTGTTACTTGGAAGTTAACAACCTGACTACTTCACTAAATTACTATACTCTATTAAATATTTAATTAATTTATTTAATATTTAGGGTAATTCTATTTTCACCCAAGTTATTTTCACCTATCATGTAACACCAGCCACTGTGGTTTGTAAATATTGTAAAAAATCATTTTGCATTTTAGTCACATGACCACTATTTAGGTAACCTATATCACGTGATCTATAGTAGTACAATAATTTCATATTGTGCGATATATGATTCATAATATACAACATCAATTTTTTCTTTTTGCTAAGGTAGAAATACTACTTTTCGCTTAGGTAGAACCAAAATATAATGATAACAATTAGGTTGCACAGGATTAGATTTTTGTAAGTTTATCCTTATTTGACTATATAGTATTTGATCAATATACAAAAATCACGAACTATAATCTATATATATGTGTGCCTCAAACTAATGCCTGCCTCAGATCACAGCTAACACACCTCAGATGCAGATCTCCAAGTGAGGTGCATAATGTCATCTAAGCTGTGTCTGATGAAAAAGTAAATAAATTGAATAATAACTTTTACTTAGAACTCTTATTCTCAGTTTCTTCACTGTTTTCTCACTGGTAGCATTTTTTACTTAAATTACTTTAATGCCTTTTTTAACTTTAATAGTATTCTATATTTTGAATCACTTTGGAATCATATTGCCTCCAATAGCATTCTTAAATCTTTGATATTTAAACCAAAAGTAGCATTATTTTACATTAAATCTGTCTCTTCAGCACCTTCATTCTTTTTGAATTTCTTTGTTGCACATTCTATTTCCAATTAATTTCCTATGCAACTAGTTTTTTTTTTGCCTAAATTTTCGTGGCATATTCTTTCCAAGTTTTTTCAGCATGTTCAATCTTCAATAATTTCTATATATATAATTTTTTTTTTGTGCTTATTGACCGATCAATAGATTATGCATTTCACTTAACAATCTATATCTGAGGTGCATCAGTTGTGATCTGAGATAGGCATTAGTCTGAGGCACAACATATACGTATATTTTATGATTTTCAATACAAAACTATTGCTATGCTTTAATTAGTACAAAGCTTAAAATATAAGCAGTTTTTCAACTAAATATGAAGCATAACATTTAGTTATATAAGTCAAATGATGCACAAAAATGGCTTGCATTTACTAACTTAAACTTCAAGTTTATTATATATTACTAAACTTGGTAATCTGACTAGTTAATTTAAAGATTATAGTATATGTGAGGTTTTGATGCACAGTATTTCTTAAACTTCAATTCAAATTTAAATATATTATAGTTAAATTTTCTAAAAAATAATTCAATAAATATTCACAAATTTAGCTCTTAAATATTATTAATTATATCTGATATGTCGTCATATACAAAATTATATAAATTGAATTATTTAAGCATATATTGTGTATTTGTAAAAATGAATCTTGAGCAATCACTTACTTTAAATGATACTGTTTTGAATGTTGATATTAAAAATAATCATGACACAACCTTTGATTCTTTTAACATTAACAATGATTTTAACAATAATAACAACAAAGCTCTTGACAGTGATTTTAATGATATTCTTGGTAGAAGTCTTAGTAATATTCTTGACAAAGACTTTAATAACAACTATATATTACATGAAATAACTCCAGTTAGTAATAATTCAGCCACATTAACAGTTGATCAAACTTTTGCTGAATGGTGTGATGTTAAGCAATATGTTAATGCCTATGCAATAAAGCAAGGCTTTGCAACAAGATTAAATCACACAGAAAAAAATCTAAGCTTTCTTACCAGAGCAGAAATCGTCTGTCATCATGCAGAAACCCCAAGTAACAAAAGCACTAGATTATGAACAACAAGAAGTGTTGCAATTGGTTGTCCATGAAAGGTAGTGGTTTGATAGACCAAAGTAAAATATCATGTAAAATCTGTTAATCTTAAACACAATCACCCTATAGACACTGCTGCTGTTGTGTTTGATTCTGGGCATCGTAAGTTAAGCAATAATGAAAATATGTATGTATGAATGCTTTATAATAGAGGTGTGCTAGTTTCAACAATTGTCAATATGTTAATGAGGAATATAGTAGATATATCATAACAAGGATATATACAACACATTGAGTTATCATTTTCATGATTACGTAAAGGGGTTGTCACAAACTGCAGAACTGTTAAAAGGTTTAAATGACAACAATAAGTATATGTTTACTTATTCAGT